ATCTATTCATGATACAACCAAGCGTCCATTCCATTTGGACGTTTCATTCAGGTGAACATCAGAATTTAATGCTATTTGAATATCCTTCTGGGATTGTTAATCAGATTTCAAGTGGGCACGCACTATTTCCTCATTTTGTTGTTCGCCATGACAAATGACCAATGCCTTTCAGAAGACAGTAGGTAATAATACGGGGGTTCTTCTTTTTCTTCTTCATTTTATTTTTCTTCCTTTACTTCTTTTTTTCTTTTCTTTGTGTCATGTTTAGGAGGTGGGTGATCCTACTTTCCATGCATTTTTTTCTTCTCTTTCTTCTTTTTCTTTCTTTTTCTCTTTCTTTTTCTCGCCTTTCTTTCCCGTCTTCTGACACTTCTTCTTCATCTACTTATTTTTCTTCAACTTTTTTCTTATTATTTTTCTTCTTTTTCGTCTTCTTTTTTTTCTTCCACTTCGTTGTTTTCTTCATCTTTTTCTTCCTTTTCTTCTTTAATTCTTCTCTTTTTTCCTATTTCTTCTTTTTCTTCTTTCTTCTTCTTCTTTCTTCTTCTTCTTCTTCTTCTTCTTCTTCTTGTTCTGCCTTCTTCTGCCTTTTTTCTTTCTTCTTCTTCTGCCTTCTTCTTCTTTCTTCTTCTTCTTTCTTCTTCTTCTTCTTCTTCTTTTTCTTCTTTCTTCTTCTTCTTTCTTCTTCTTCTTCTTCTTGTTCTTCTGCCTTCTTCTGCCTTTTTTCTTTCTTCTTCTTCTGCCTTCTTCTTCTTCTTTCTTCTTCTGCCTTCTTCTTCTTTCTTCTTCTTCTTTCTTTCTTCTTCTTCTTTCTTCTTCTGCCTTCTTCTTCTTTCTTTCTTCTTCTTTCTTCTTCTTTCTTCTTCTTCTGCCTTCTTCTTCTTCTTTCTTTCTTCTTCTTTCTTCTTCTTTCTTCTTCTTCTTCTGCCTTCTTCTTCTTTCTTCTTCCTTCTTCTTCTTTCTTCTTCTTCTGCCTTCTTCTTTTTTCTTCTTCTGCCTTCTTCTTCTTCTTTCTTCTTCCTTCTTCTTCTTTCTTCTTCTGCCTTCTTCTTTTCTTCTTCTTCCTTCTTCTTCTTCTTCTTCTTCTTCTTCTTTTTCTTCTTCTTCTTCTTCTTCTTCTTTTTCTTCTTCTTCTTCTTCTTTTTCTTCTTCTTCTTCTTCTTCTTTCTTCTTCTTCTGCCTTCTTCTTTTTTCTTCTTCTGCCTTCTTCTTCTTTCTTCTGCCTTCTTCTTCTTTCTTCTTCTTCTTTCTTCTTCTTCTTCTGCCTTCTTCTTCTGCCTTCTTCTTCTTTCTTCCTCTTCTTCTTTCTTCTTCTTCTTTCTTCTTCTTCTTCTTCTGCCTTCTTCTTTCTTCTTCTTCTGCCTTCTTCTTCTTTCTTCCTCTTCTTCTTTCTTCTTCTTCTTTCTTCTTCTTCTGCCTTCTTCTTCTACTTACTTCTTCTTCTGCCTTCTTCTTGTTCTTCTGCCTTTTTCTTTATTCTTTTTCTTCCTTCTTCTTCTTTCTTCTTCTTTTTTCTTTCTTTTTCTTCTTCTTCTTCTTCTGCCTTCTTCTTCTTTCTTCTTCTTCTTCTTCTTCTTCTTCTTGCGTCATCCTTCCAAAACTCAACCCCTGCCTTCTTTTCCCGCCATTCGTTTGCCTCCGATACGTAAAATTTACTCTAAATAATTAGATTTCCCCTAGTATCCAACATTCTCGCAACATCTTATGCTTTCCTCAGATACTCATTGATTCCCCCACGTAATTCTGTTGACCCCTAATACGTAGCCATACCTTCATGTCGGTGACACCAAACCTCTGAAATTTCCTTTTGCGCCTTTCCGCTCCTTTTAACGCCCAACTGCTTCACCACGACATTCGCTTGACACCCAATACTCTCAACCTTCTCTCGACATAATTCAATTGCCTGCGCTTCCTCAACAAGCTATTTAGTTACATCCATGCGGCGAATACGCGTCAGCACAGGCGCAAAAGATGCCTCGGGTAACATGGGAACATGTTTGACAACATCAGTTACATTCGCGGGGCTGTTTGGTCAAGGATGGCCAACCTGTGGCGCATGCGCCATAAGTGGCGCATTGGATGCTTACAAGTGGCGCATTGCATCCTTTTGATGAAAAGAAACTAAGTCACTTCTAATCATTCATTTCAGTGTTTATATTTATTGCACATCCTTTGCGAAAGTGCTAAAAGTCAGATTTGTGTTTGTCCCATTTTTTTTTTGTTAAAAATGCTGACGTGGTCAGAAAGATGCCTAGTAATATACAAATGGAACTTATTGAACTAAAAGCAAATTCAATATTGAAAGTAAAATTTAAAGAACTTTCCTCATTCCCAAGTGCGTCGGAAATGATTGGGTTTTTGGCGATCATTATCATGTAAACATTTTCCAGAAATGAGAAAATTTTCCCAGAGATATGTTTGTCTCTTTGTAACTACGTACAGATGCGAGCAATCGTTTTCTTCCATGAAAATGATCAAAAGCAAACTGAGGTCGCGACTGTCCGATTCCAACTTGAAGAATTGTTTGTTGCTTTCAGTTACGAATTTAATTCCTAATATTGCTGGTTTGGCGAAAACAAAGCAGAATTAAAAGATACATTAAAGTTATTTATGTTTATTTTGCCTATGTAAACATTATAAACTCTGCTATGCCACCCACCCCCCTCTGCAAAATCTGAAGAGAAAAAAAAAGTCAAAGCATTGATTGATGTCCCCCACCTTTCAAAACTCCCGGATACGCCGCTGGTCATAAGCATATATTTTTCAAATAAATAGATTTTATTTTACCTTTAAAATATGTCCATATTACAACACGTACTGAAAGGAAGTGAATGTTTGTGTGGCGCATTTAAATTAATCGTACAAAATATTGGCGCATGGAATCAAAAGGTTGGCCAGCCCTGAGTTAGATACAGGCCACTCTGCAACTGGTCAAGATCCGGGTGTTTGTAAGATGCTTCAAGGTAGGGGAAAACAGCAGTCGGCTGTTGGTAAGACACGATGTCTTGGGAAGTCGATCGCGCGGGCATGTTTTTTTCTCAAGTTGTGGTTTTTTTATTTGTTTTTTTTTGCAAAATAAATTTTCTTAATAATGTCGTTTTTGACGTTAAAAAAATACGTCAAAAACGACATTAATACGTCATTATTTTTTGCAACCAACCTAATAGTTTTATTTTTATTTTTTTGTTATCTTCTGCCTCTTTCCCCACTTTTCCTATCGCCCACCCCTAGTTGTTGGTAGAGTAATTGGTTAGATATATCCCTACCCCACCAATATCAACAGACTCATTGCTCACATTACAACAATCTACTGCTACCACAGCAAGAAGAGAGAATAAAATAACTCGAATTATGCTTTCTTCTTCTGTCACTGCAAAAATATAATAAAGAATAGTGTTTTTCCAAGTGTAGCTTAGATGTGGCACAAGGCCGAAAGTATGGGGCACCCAGTGAGGATCGAACTCACGACTCAGTTGTAATAGTTCTAGCGAGACAAGCTTGCTAACCATTACACCGCCTCGAGGTTCCCAAAGATATAAAAAAGAATAAATCGAGAGAATTATTTTTCAAGACGTCGGCGATCATGGCCCTCCACTTCATCCTATCCCTTGTGGCTCTCAACAGACTTTATGTTTCTGTCAACTCCCCCAGACCATGCTCCGCCATCCACCTGCCCAAATCCGCCACGTATGTCATGCGTTGCTTTCCTGTGTCTCTTTTCCCCTGTATTCGTCCTGTGAGTATCAGATTCTCCAGGCCATCCTTTCTCATCATGTGTCCCAAAAATCTCATCTGCCTCCTCTTCCTTATGTTAAGAATAAACTTTCCTCCTTCTTTGCATTCTCTCCAAGATCTCACATCGTCGCTCACATGCTCGGTCCATTGTATCCTCAGCATCCTTCTGTAGAATTATATCTCCGCCGCCTCCAGTCTCTTCTTTATACTTGAGGATACCGTCCAATATTCGCTGTCGTATAGGAGGACAGGTGCCACGTAGCAGATCAGTACTCTTTTCTTTGTCACCATTGAAATCATCCTGTTTCGCAGTACTCTGGGTTGGCCAAGAATGCATCCTTGGCCATCCCAATCTCTCTACGCATCTCAGCGTCGTACGGTACCCTCGTCTGTCAGAACACTTCTTATATACGTAAACCCCCGCACATGTTTGATCTCGCATTTTGGGCTCATCGTTTTACTGACGACCATCCATATTTTTTTTTGTAATCATTCCATTTGAAACATAGCGCAGTTATGGACCCTAAATGGCTGGTTTTCGATAATTTTGCAAGCAGCCATTTTGAAAAATCGTCAAGTTAGATTGGTGTTGAATAATTATTAATGAAAGCTTACGATGATATCACATTTCAACACCGATTCAAGTACGATCAGAGAAGATAAGCAACGTCGAGCCTGGTCAGTAACTAGATGGTTTACCGCTTGGAAATACCGGTTGCTGTAAACTTGGATGTGCAAGTGGTGTAATGAATAAAGGCTCGGAAAGGTTAATTGGAGAGCCGAGTTCTAATGACAGTTGGATTTGTTATATTAACTTACGCATAAGTATTCTTGGGAAAGCTAGTATTTTTTAGGTGTATTAAAAAGCTCTTGAAAAGTGTTTAAAACAGAGCCCGCGTGCATGCACACACACACACACACATATATATATATATATATATATATATATGTAAATAAATAATTAATTAAGAAAGAGACAACCTCAAAGATCCATGAGTATAATTTATTTCTCCACAAAATATTTTTTCCTGGTTCATCAAGTCACATCCTACTTAAAAAGTATATATATATATATATATATATATATATATATATATATATATATATATATTCCAGATTCATCAGGTCAAATCTCTCGTTACATATCTCTCGTTATATATTATGTATATATATATATATATATATATTATGTATATATATATATATATATATATATATATATATATATATATATTATATATATATAGATATATGTATATATTAAAACTGATGTTCTTAGCAACTATTTTCATTTTTAAAAAAAACAATGCTCGATACAAACGGTAGAGCAAAATATTATAATTATTTTCTTTTTTAAAAATATAATTCCATCGCGACACAGAAAATTTCCATGTTTCAAAACTGTTAACTAAATTAATAAATTTAATTATAAAAATTAAACTTAAAATCCATAGTCTCGTTCCACTTGTCAAGCGATGCTAAGAATAACATTTTAAGAAATATTGATATTATGAGTTTTTAATGTAGAGGAAAATCTCTTTCAATTTAGGGTTGGTTGGGTTTTAATTTCCCTAGACAACTTATGTATCCAATATATGTTACAGTGTAACCCGGATATAAGAGAAACCCGGATATAAGAGATTTTTCTGGTCCCAAATTAGAGCCTGTATTAATGTATATAAATTAGACCAAACCCGGATATAAGAAACCCGGATATAAGAGATTTTTTCTATACAAATGACAACTCTCTTATATATATATAGGTTGTACTTACAAAGTCAGGTTAAGTTTAGAGGGTATGGGGGTACCTGCTAACAAACGTATACTTTCTTTATTCAGCGTTTCGTCCGGGTTTTCAATGACAAAAAATTTTGCCATTTTTATTCATCAGCTTAATTCATATTTTTTATACGCAATGATTTTCTAAAAGGGTCACTTAAATATGTGTAAGACATATTTTTAATATTTAAATTTCATTAATAAAATTTTATTCTTACAGATTTAACGTACTATTCGACCTTCTAAATAGACTATACGGCATTTTTACAGATAAATATATTAGCATTCAATTACTAATTAATGATCAAATATAAAAATGTATGTTTCTTTTCTATTCTTTATTATTAACTTTTTTTCCAAATTAATTATTACTTATTGGAAAATATTTGACAGTAACTTTATTATCAAACTCTTCCTAGGCTTTTGGAGATAGACCCCTATAGCCACATATAATCTGAAACTACATGACCCAGGGTACTTGGATAAGTATATTTCATTTTGATTAAATCTGGTCACTTGGGGGCACAAACCCCCACTGAATTGTTTTCCCTTTGATTTAAATTAAATTTAAATTTGAACAAGGGAATGAATCCTGTCCAAAATAATGAAAGAGAAAGCCAGAAGATGGAGGTCACAGTGACAAGATTAAAATGAAACAATATGGACGTCAAGTTGAGCAACAACTCACAAATCAGTGGGCGGTGCCTTACAATACATATTTGTTGTTACAATTCAACTGTCAAGAATGTTGAAATCTGCTCTTAATTCATTCAATCAAGCATTGCATCAAATACATATCAAAGATCAAACTGTTTTTGCACACTCCAATGAAATTTGATCCCTTTAAATTAAAGTAAATTTAAATTTGTACAATGGAATGACTCCTATCCTATCCAAAATATAGAAGGAGAAAGCCAGAAGATGGAGATCACATCAGCAAGATCATTGAGTAATACTGAAATGTATTTTTCTTCATAAATTATAACAATGATTTCAAATCAATCATTTTCTTACAAAAAAGTGTGACACTCAGCAAAGTGCGGGTAATTCGGCTAATAAAATATATATATATATATATATATATATATATATATATATATATATATATACAAAAGACCCCAAAAAACTGGATTTT